TTTCATCAATGCCATAAAATCATGAACGTTGTTAGCAACAAAAATTTAATGATTTACAGTAATCAGATCATTGATGACACAGCTCCGACTCAAAATAGTTCTAACAAGTGATATTAAATGATTATCTGTTATATTTTGAATGTTTATACATAATCAAATATATATAATCAGCTGAAGACAATATAAACAAACAAATTAAGATTTAAGCAATGAACTTTCTGTCTGGTACATACACTAGTTTGTTGATTTAAATGATCTGCACATTGTGTTATATACATACAAACTTGATCATTTTAATTTTAAATCACCTGGACACTTTTTTTAACAGCTTTTAAAAAAATTATTTGTTTAAATTGCATTAAAGATCAGGATGAGAATAAGTAGGTGCAGGTGAGATTAAGATTGTACGAGACATGTCAAGACGGATAAGGTGAGAAAAGAATAATATGACTGACATCAGTGAAGAGCTAATCAGGGTGATTGCTCTAGTGGGCGATAAAAAAAGATTTGTTTCTGGTCCTGAGATGTTGAAAAAATATAGTGTGGTAAATGCCCTTTTTTTTCTTGAAAGCGACAATAGCCATGTTTTTCAAAATTGTTCAGTTTAAATATAACCACATAAAGATGAACAAATTTGACTGAAATATTGTTTTTGACATAATTATATGGACAATATCATATAAAATGTGATGTGAAAACTGAGGGACAAGTTGTCATTAGTTGTTTATTTTATTTATATTGACCCAGCTTATTACCCTTCACTGTAAGTTTTATGTCATTTTCAACTTCTACTTCTTCTCTTAATATCATATTGCCCTTATGAATAGTAAAATTCATCTTTATGCCACTGTGAATCAAGCAGCCGTGGATACAAAGTTAGGACTTATGCTATTGTTATAAAGTCTACTAATACTTACTTTTGAGAATATTGGTAAAACTGATGTGTTGATTTGATGATTAAATCAAGCATACATCTATACACTGGGGTTTTGTCCTGTTACTTTTTGATAGTTTGAATACATTTTTATTTTTAAAACAAGCAAGCCGGAATGAATGTGGTAACATTACATACTAGGTCAAAAAAATAGTTTTTGTTCTCAACATAGAGAAATTTTGAAAAATGACGCTATGCGTTTTTTATTTTGTTTTCTGCATTTAGATTTATTATTATAACAAGATATGTTCAATGTTTAACTTTTATTAAATAATTCTTTCATTCACAAATTATTTTTGGATCAACAAAACATTCTCTGTAACAAAAAATATTTCCTTATTCTACCATATGTGGCACACTTTATGCGTACGATAAACTGCAAAATCAATGTGAGACACAGATTTCAAACTAACGTACACAATGATGAGAAACAAAACTAATTTTTTTGGCAATATGGTAAAAAAGATATAATCAAGAAATTGTAAGATTCGCTCAGACTTTAATTTGAACTCTGATGCTTATAATATGACAAGGATTTGGGACACAAGGTAAAAACATACTTTATTTGTATCCATTGTGTTATCATCACCAAAATAAAACTTAAAGATTAACACACCAGTCATTGCATATCCTATGGGTCAAAGGAATTTGACCTTAATTACCAAACATTGGCAGCAGAATAAATTATGGCAATTATGGGAGAATTAATTCATTTTATTTTATTTGTAAAATGCAAATAAATGCTGATTAAACTGATGTTCTCTCTATATCAAGGCGCAACAGCGCTAAAAGAATACAAAATAGTTCAAAATTTAAATAAAATCATTCATATTCACAGATGAGTAAGCAGTAAAACTTGACCCCCCCCTCCCCAAATCCTAAAAGCTCTTGGTATCTCCCACAATCCAGAGCACCAAATGGATGGCCACACAAAATCATGTTACTGGTAAATATTTTTATTACTGTAGTTCCTGTAAAATAAAGTAGTCTTGTTATGTTTCAGAAACACCAATGTAAAAACATAACACAGTTTGTAAAACATTTTCTGCTTTAAACCGATTAATTGGCAATAAATCAATTTCATGTTCCAAGAATATCAATGTGCATAATTTCCATAAAAAATACAGTATTCAATAAATTATGTAGAGTTTCTTTTCTTTTTAAGTACCAGCAGAAGAAGAGATAGGTCATGGTAACTTCCATAGCCAGTGGACTTCACCATTCACAAACAGGTGAGTTATAGGGCATCCTGAGGGACTACAACATGATTTCCCCATCTTCATCAGTATTTGGTTTAGTCCTTCTTGGGATATCGGGAAGGTCTTCTGCTAAACCCCAACTCCTTGCACCGTAATCTATGGAAAGAAAGTCAACATCATTATTTATGTTTCAAACACTGATATTGATTGCTACTGTAGAAGACATTATTTTAGTATAAACTTATTTGACATCCAATTAGGATGAAGTGAAAATCTGATCAGTGATCCAATTATGGTGAAGTGAAAATCTGATCAGTGATCCAATTATGATGAAGTGAAAATCTGATCAGTGATCCAATTATGATGAAGTGAAAATCTGATCAGTGATCCAATTATGATGAAGTGAAAATCTGATCAGTGATCCAATTATGAATTTAACCACACCTACCTTCTTGTTCAACAGGCTCCATGACTCTGGGACTGTTCCTCTCCATCAAAGGAGCTAGTCTAGGTTTCATGGATGCTTTGGAACTGGTTTCAAACATATTCCGATTGCGTGATGCTTGCGCCCATGACGGGGTGGGTAGCGGTGCCGGAAGTGGGGGTGGTCGTGTTTCAGCCTCGTCCATTACGTCTGGCATAGGACCTAATTTATTCTTCTTTTTTAGCTTCTTTTTTTTCTTTTTCTTTTTGACACTTTCTTCTACAAAGAAATAAAAAATTTAGAACTTTAACCTGATATAAGAATGGTCTGCCTATTTTTTGAACAAGCAGCCTTGCGACCTCAAAAGAGTCCTGCTGAAATTGTTAACTGTGAGTTGAAAACGTAGTGTCGAGTGATGTTAAAGTTTGGCATGATAAAAGAAACCTTCACCTCAACTTCAACATAGTTGTCTAATAGCAGCAAACATAAAAACATTGAAATGATCTAGACCTGACATTCAACATTATTGAAAAACATTTGCCCTGGTAGTTCAGAACCCAACAATACACTATTACATTCCCTTGTATTATACATAGCCCATATATAATGTATGGAACAGTGGGAAAAACTTCATAACTTTCACAAAAATAGAGATATCATCAATGAACAAATTTAAAAGAAGATCTATGTGTCTACATTATGAATCTCAAAGTAATCTGGCAGGCAGTTTTAGAGAAGAAGTCAAAAATAGGCAAAAATGGGCAAAAAAATATGAAAATAAATTTAGTTCATGTCAAGAGCATTCATGCCAAATTGACAAAAAATGACAAAAATATTCCGTAAAACTAGAGATTTGGATGTGATGTCATGAAATGAACAAATTTGAAAGAAGACCACCCCAGGTAGCTGTTCTATTAAATAGCAAGGTGATCAAGCTTACGGTTTTGTAGAAAAAGTCACTTGAAAAAAGTTGACAGACAACGGACAGGCGATAACAGATCCAGTCAACCCATGATGTTGAATAATTACAATGGACTACCAATGGACTACCAATAACTACATGTCCCACCATTTTCTATAGGCTGTCACACTGTGACATCATTTGTTTACGTTTTTGTCAACCAGCATGTGAATGTTTTATCAACACTATCTGCCATTGCCTGTAAGTTGTTTCACTTCAGGTGTGGATAACCAGTTCTTGCAAACTAGTCACACATACATGCAAAATGTGAAACAAGTGCTACAACCTGTATATTATTTGACATGACAGTCAACCAATGATAATTACATATATCTCATTATTTTATTAAAAAAGAACGTTTACTTTTTAAAAGCAAATGTGTCGAAATATACGCTGGTATGAGCTAGTATAGTGTTCCCTATTGTTTGAAAGTAAATGACTAACATAATTAATGTCAAATTAATGTTAATTAAACATGCCTAGCACTGACCAGTATTCAGAAATTGAATTTTGTTGTTGAGAAAGCACTCAAATCACGGCTGAATTCTATAAGCATGCGCTTAGGTAAATGCCAGGTCAAATAAGTCATATTTTAATGTAATCCAGAGTACAATGCAATTAGTATTGTACAGGAATAGTATACATATAGGAATTTTCTTAAAATTTACCAAGGCAAACTCATTGAGCACTGGGACAACTTATTTTGATGTCAGAGTGATGTTCCAAGGGTGTCTAAATCTCAGCTCATTTCAGTTTATACCATTATTTTCACTTATTTTTGTGATTTCCCCAGAAAGCAATAAAACTGAAAATATATTTTCCTCTATTCTTTGCATACATGCAACAAACCAAACTAATACAACCAGTTTTTTAAGCTAGTTCAAAATAATGTGGTCTAATGAACGAATAAAATTAAAGAACATAGTTGAACTCTGGTGACCTTGCCCTTTGTTATATAATATAATTCCCTTTATCATAGTTTGTTTCAATATAAATATGCATTGTCATAATTAATTTTGAATACAAACAAGTTTTGGGGTTGAACCAACAGTGGGGAATCAGTCTACCGAATGTCCTTAAAAGATGTAAATATCTTACAAAAACATTGGTGCCTTATTTGTTTAATTATTTTAAGGGACATAATTTCCAGCTTTATTCAAAGTAATTCAGATATTTTAGTATAAAAACAAATGTCTCATTGCAAAAAAAACGTGCTGCATTTAGATGTGAATAGGTTCATAAAACATGCAAGATAACAGAAAATTTTAGCTGGCTTTAGTCCAAGTATTTTGTACAGGTGTCTGTCAAAAATTAATAATTCACTGAGACAAATATGAACTGCCTTATTGTGTGATTACTGTATTATATGAAAAGTAAAAAAAAAACACCCTTTATGAATAGCTATCAAATTGCAAGCTCTGTTTTGTATGCAAATCAACAATAGTTAGTTGGTGTCCAGTTTGAGGTACTTTTACAGTACTTTTGCCTCCTGAGAATCTACATCTTCAAACACTGCAATCTTTGAAGTGCATTTTTAAACTAGTATTATAAAAACTATCATTCTGTTCTAATAGCTGAAACATATTCCTGTGTGTTTTCATTTGTCGAATGAACCGTTTGTCAAATACAGAATACATATATTTTAGAATAATTTTCTTTTTAAAATGTGGATGAAATGTTTTGCCTTTGATTTGATAACTTTGAACTAAACAGATTTTCTATTAGCTTCAGATCTTGATCAAAGTTAGGCACCCAGTTCATAGCAGTGCTTATATTGATTTTCTGACATCTTGTTTTCTATAAAAGATTTTATTGGTAGGTTTGCAAATGTGTATCAGACTGTGCAATCTCTCCATGAGTTAGTTTTGAAACCCAGTATGGGATTCTGAGATACATTACCAAAGATATTATTACAAGATAAATCATTTGCTTCATTGAACACGTACAACAATGCATATTTCCACTGAGATCAGTGACCTTTGATATGTATCACCAGTGATCAGTCAAGTAGAAACAGTCAAAATATTTTTATCAGATTTCTCAATTTTTGCATGA